CCCCAAAACCCCAAAACCCCTAGACGATGTATTTTATTATGATAAGTAATTCAAGTTAAAACAAATTAATATAGATTAAGATTGGTTTAGGGTGCGGATGTGCAAATAATTCAGAATGTCGATCATAAGCCTATGAGTTTAGTAAAACCTGTAGATATGAGGTTTCCTAGGATAAGAGGAAGGAGCATAATGCACAGTGCACAGCAAACTGCAAGACAGCAATAGCAGTAGATTTTTCTACGAAGTGCTGGTCCTATTAATTGTTGGAACATTTTCCAGGGATTTAGACTGAACTAAAGACGACCAATGGGTGGAGGTAAGAATGGTGAAACATTTGGTTCTTATCTAGCTTCTCCAACTTTGTTTAGATCAGCCATAGCCTTAGGATAGATGTCTATTTGAACTCTCACCTTTCCATTTTCTTCTATCTTTCCAGTAGCTGAGTCTCTAGATCTCATTGGCAGCCAGAATGTATTGTCGTCCTTGAATTAAAGATTCATTCCTTTGTCTTTCTTTAATACTTCGTCATGATACTTTTTGTTAATACTCAAAGGTCTCTTTGTCAGTGCAGCATCTTCTATTGCCTACTTTAGGTCAATGATGCAATCTCCAATAATGTCGTTTGATTTAAAGAAATCTCTATCATATGCTTGAATGGTAAAGCTATATTCTTTTCTTGGGACTTTAACGTCAAAAAGTAGTCTGTAGTTAAATGAGGCTTTTCCATTTTGGCATCTATAGTGAGTATCTGTCTCTTTAACTTACTGCTTTGAGTCAAAGAATGCTCTAATGTATACATCACTAGTTCCTTCAGCATCCATCATCTTAATTCCAAGAGTATCAAAAATACACACTCTCACCTCAAAATCTTCAGCTGGCTTTGGTGCGGTATCCCAGATCGGAATATCTCTTGCTGGAATGATAGTTGGGTGAATTTCAACCCACATTTTAACAACTCCTTAAGAAACGGCTGAGGAAGGATGATAAATTTGTCTGTACTCAATTGGCTTGTTTTTAATACTCTACCAATCCGGTGAGAAGAATCTATCTTCGAGATCCACATTGGTGATACCAATCGAATCGTCTCCAAAGATATCATCATAGTCCATTACATTAACTACCAATGGTGGACAACCTGGGAATACAGATTCAAAGTCATAGTATTTGTGGAACTCTGGGTTGGGCTCATCCAACAAATAGTTAGATCTTTCATTGTAAGTTTTGTTTCCAAGAGACACGATTAAATATGGATCTGAAAAACTTCCATTATCTCTTGAGGCTAGATCGTAGGCGCTGATCATGTAAACTCTGACTATACATTTAGTTTGAGCCATCAGGAGTCTCTTCAAGGTTTCATCAGACTCAAGATCGGCTAAATGCTATGAGATATTAAGGTGACCGATACCTAGATCAGTCATTTCTATTTCAAACTTCTATCTGCCTTCCATTGTATCCATCTTTTCAAGCTTTAACTCGACTGGTTTTCCTATCTTTTTGAGAGAAAGTTAGTTTAGCTTAACTTTTAAGTTATGAATCAAGTCTTTCTTTTTCTCCTAATAATCCTTTTGATCTTCAGCGGTTTATACAGTGACTATACCTTTAAACTTTCCAACAACCTGCTCAGTAGAAACTTGTCCAGCATCATCTTCTTTGTGATTTCCAAAAGGCCACCATCCCTTTGAAGCTCCTCTTGATTATCCTCGCTTTATTTCGAATGTTTCGAATGGTGTTTTTACTGGCATTACTTCCTTAATATTTTCTAGTTCATCATGATAATACCTTCTGTAATGCTTCTTTTTGGCATCTTTATTCTCGTCCCAACCAAGTCCCATAAATAAGGAATCTGGAGGTGCACCTACCTCTCTGTATACAGAGAGTCTAGTATCTAATTCATATTGAGGCATAATGACATTCTTGACTGCAGTTCTGGCTGATGTTTGCTTAAGCTACTCAAGATCTCTCTTTCTGTTATCCTCAAGTTCTCTCTTTTGTCTCTCTTAGTACTCCACATTTTCCTGCATAAGCTGGCCTTTCATACCACTGTTAAATTTATCAAATTGCTGATGCTTCATTGGATTGGTTGGAGTCTTAGACTTTCCACCTTGAGACATAGAAAGATGCTTAGGGGTGATTCTTCTGTTTGACTGAGGACTTCTTTGAACAAATGAATCTTTTCCTCCCTCCTCTTATTTGCTCTCCTCAAGTAGTAATGGTTATCTTAGCTCATCATCAACTTTAAATGATTTTTTAACTTAATTTAGCTATAATAGTGCGTCTTTTGCAATGGTATCTGCAAATGATTCAGCCTAAGGCAAGGCTTAGATACTATATGAAGGGATACCCTAATCTTGCATGATTTTATCTAACTCCTACAAGATATAGTCAATTGCTTCAGTCTCTTCATATCTTTCTTTCTTGAGTTTATCAACAAGTCCACCAATAGGTATAATGAAAGATCCAATCATTGGCTGACTTAATCCCTTGAAAATGTAATCATGCACTGAGCAAGCGAGTCTTGGGCAAAACAGAGGATCTGATGGAAGTGGAATCTTGAATTGGATTAATGTGTTGATTGTTGGATTAGCTCCAGGTGCTCCTGGTTGAGTCTTGATATTCTCAATCGCTGAACCATCTTGTGGAGGTACCAAACTCTTTAGATTGAACAGGATAAATGCTTTCTTTACTGGAAGAATACCGATTGATTAGAGATCTCTAAGTCCTAAAATATTGATATCAACTTAGAATTCTGGAGTGTCTACTTGATCTCTCAATCTCATGTATTGTAAAGGAGTCTTGAAGTTGAAGTCATCCAGTACAATTGCAAAGGAAACTAAAATTTCTCCTTGAGTTGGAGCACCAGCCTTTAGTCTGCAAGGATGCCATTATGGCTTGGGGATAATGTCGTCCTCTGAATATGAACAATCCTTTATTGGAATTACAGCTCTGCATATGAAATCGTCAGCATCAAGGCCAACGTCTTCATCATAGATATCGAATACAAATGGTGGCATATCTTAGATGACTCCAGTTTCAATTAGAAGTTCCTTAGTTTCAAAGAACATAGGGTTGCAGTTATCGTAAATGATGTTAGTCTTAATCTGGTTTTTAGTCATGTCCCACATGTGGATGTATGGATCTGACTGACCATCGCTATCTGCGGCAGGTAGATCTCTGCATTAGAAGAGATATGCTCTAACCTTAAGAACGTTAAGTCTTTTAGGAGGAGGTTTCTTCCATGCATCGAATTTGTCAAAGCTGATTGGGCCATCCTTAGTTTTGTCATGAACTGAAAGTTTGATGCTTACTAGACCAGCTTTATGTGCTTCTGAAACTTTACCTATTGCAAGATCATTTATGAGTTCAACCCATTTCCACTGAGGATTAGGGTCTATGAATTCCTCAATCTCAGCTTTGAAATAGCAAACAGGCTTGTCTCCTGATAATAGATAAACGTATACTCTTCCAATATCATAGATGTCCATATATGATGCAGTGTATAATTACTGTTTGAATCTATGACTCCATCTGTTATAGCTATTCTCAGCCATTACTGGGTTTCCTGTTTTCATTTCTAGATCACCTATCTTAATCATTACACTGTACTTATCATTGCTGGGAAGTGCTATTCCTTATCCTACCTCTGCAATTATTTCGAATTCATGAGGTAACAAGTATGGGGCTGCTTTTTCAATATCTTTCTTGTCAAGATCTCTAATCAAGCATGTTGGCTTGTCTGTTTTCTCAGCTGTAACCTACATGAGCATTCTACCTTTCCAACTACTAGCGATTTCTGGGTTTTAATTCATATGATCAGTATTTTATCCTGAGCAGCCTAATGGTGAACCATACACATTCTTCCAGAAGAATTTGCCATTCTTGGGTCCAATGCATTCCTTTAAGTTAAAGAGTAATGAACCAACAATCTCATCTGATAATTTGTCCTCATCAAACAACTTCATTACAATTCTACCAGACATGATTGGTAACTAGCATGGTATCTACAAGAGTGAATGATCAAAAATATAATATGATTACTAGAATCTCCTAGTTCCAACTGAATCTCTCACCGTTATTAGCAGTGATTACTTTAGTCTTTAGCTTTTAATTCATGTAATTGCAGATAATATAAGCATCGATAGAACCACCACTTCCGAGCAAAGCTTTGTCCATAAATGGCAGTTTTTCTGCTGCAAACAACTTGAATCTGATTTGATAATATTCTGGTCTAATAGATGGTGGCATCATAACATTCTCATCTCCAGCTCCTGGGTCATCTGTTATTTGCACTTATTCATCTCCAGCTGCTGCAATTGTAATGCTTATCTTAAGGTAGCCAGTCACTTCGTTAAAGTTTGGTGAGGCAGGGTTTGATAAAGCTAACCACTTGTGCATCAATGAGTGCTTCTCCATGAAATAAATGTAGGCAATATCGAATTCATACGCTCCTATCACGGCGTCCTTAAAGTAACCCTTGTCGAGTAACTTGATTGAAATCTTTGCCTGCTCAATGTCCTCTACTTTCTGAAAACCATTATATATTAAAATTTGCGATTTCATAGTTTTGATGACTTACGACATTCTTCGGCTCAAAGAACAAGTGCTCGTTCCAGATACATACTCCAGTTGAACCAATATCGTCCTTGGCTGTAGTGAACTTTTTATCATTCATCAGTTGAACCTCAATGATGGGATCAACAGTGTTACCGTCGGGACACTTCAACTGCTTTGCTTATTCAATGAAAACCTAAATTAATAGTAGATAGTTAAGAAATTGCCATTTTATCGTTTATTAATAGTTAAGATTTAGAGCTTATCGCTCTGAACTTCAGCTATCCTATTCTACTTACATGAACCATGTAATCACCTCTCTTCATCTGTCCAACTTCTCTATATCAATCGATTAGCTTTTAAATAAAATGCATACGGGGCAGCATCTTCAGCTTTTTCAACTACTTTCTTAGCTTCTTCAGTCATTCGGTCTGTTCTACTAGTTTATTATATCAAAGGATATTTTTAAATAGTTAACTAATTATTATAATAAACCTTATTGCTAACTGATCTATCAATCACGGGGTTTTGGGGTTTTGGGGTTTTGGGGTTTTGGGGTTTTGGGGTTTTCGGG